TCGATTCGGGGGCTGACATTCTGGATATGAAGGCGTGATGCCAACCAAGTGACACAAACATTTGGACGACGAAAACAAAACCCCTCACTTAATGCTTCAAAGAAAGGCAACAGAAAATCCATCGTCCCATAAGTGTCCCCCCCCTCCCCCGCGGGGTCCAAACACGCCCCCCTTGTTCCAGTGCACAACTCTTTTTTTTTCTTTTTTTTTTTTCTTTTTTCTTTTTAAAAGCCATAAAAGAAGAAACCAACTAAAAAGTAAAAAGAATAAAAAATAAGGACTTGGAGTTGGAGCCCGCAGAATATGTGGCGACGTCAAGTCTGACTGGTCTCTTCTGAGTCGATGGTGGGAAAAATCAAACAAAAAATAAGGGAGTGGAAAGGTGAACAGAAGGATGTGTTTGTGCCGAGTTCAGTCTGATATAGGAAGAGACGGAGGAGAAGAGTGTGTGTGTGTGTGTGTGTGTGTGTGTGTGTGTGTGTGAAGGAGGAGGCAGACGCGTGGGTCGGCTGGGATTTTAAAAGTTCATTTTTGGGGAAGTTGGAGTAGGGCTTAGGTGGAAGTGGTCCTTTAACCACCAGCAGCAGTCTGTCCATCCAAAATATACTAGTGTGTGTGAGCGTGTGTGTGTGTGTGTGTGACTTCAGCAACTTGTGTCCCGTCTCAGCCGGAGTCCACTCAAGTTTGCGGGACAGTCAGAACAAATCTGACCAGAACTTCTTTTGACTTTTCCAGCACAGTAAGGCCTCTGCTGGCCTCGCCCTCCGTCCGGACCCCCACCCGTCTGGACCCCCCACCCGTCCCGCCCCTCCCCACCCAACCGGCTTCCGCCGGGCACCAGAACCGTGCAGACAGACTGAATAAATAGGAGGAGGAAATAACGGGGAGTGGTCAAAGTGATCAAAGTGTGGCTGATAGGAGAGCGGACATGCAGGAGAGTGGAACGTCTAAGTTGACCGGGACAGAAAAAACAAAACAAAAAAACAACAACAAAAAAAAAACCCCGGCTGGGGTGGAGACGAGACCCGGCTCTGAAGGCGCTTCAGCGTGTGAAGGAAGTCTGCTCAGAGCTCCTCGTGGAACAAAACGTCTAACAACGGAAAGGTTTTCTAGTCTGGGACCCGGCAGTCCTAATCCGGACTTTTCGTCCGGGCGACAATCCCGTAACTCTTTAAGTGACCCCACCCGCTAGCTTACCCACCCCCCTACACCTCCACCTCCACCTGTGTGCCCCCGTCCTACCTACGGCTACCTACCCCTAACGCTGTGCCCCCCCCTCCGGCTCGCCCCGCTCCCGGCTGCCTCTCCGCGCTCACAGTTTCAGCTCGTTGGCGATCTTGGAGGCAATGTTCTTGAAGGCGATGGAGGTGCCCGAGATGCGCTTGAAGCGCACGCCGTTGAGGGAGAGGCGGGGCAGCTTGCACACCTCCATCTCCCACTGGACGAAGTTGTCGCAGCCCGGGTTGCCCGACATGCACATGACCATGTAGCTGTCGCGCATCTCGTACTCGCAGCTGTTGGACTCCAGCACCTTGCGGATCTCCCGCACCATCTCCGCCGGCTCCATGGAGGAGGTGGTCTTCATGGACCAGGTGAAGCGCAGCGAGCGCGGCTTCCCGGGGTCCTTCTGGCTGGCGTTGGCCGGAGGGGTTCCCGTGCCACCTGGAGAAGGGGGGGGGGGGGGGGGGGACAGCATGTGAGCACACAGGGGAGCGATAATGGGGAGAGGCTTCTGCTCCTGACAGCTGATATAAAGGAAAGCCGACGGAACTAAGTTGTAAAACATGCCGCTGACTCTGCCTTTTTTTTTTTTGTCGCTGGCATCAAGATCAAAACGACTAAATATCTGCAAAAGGAACAAAAGCAGGACGGATCATCAAGTGTCAAAACGCTGCTACAGGGGCCGTACCGGTGTTCCCAGATCCTGGCGAGGAGTTGTTCTCGTCGTTGTTGGAAGAGGAGGAGAGAACGCCGCCTGACGTCTTCTCCGACTTGTCCACGGCACTGCTCAGCACCGACCTGCATGGAGCCGTGTTGGGGGGGGGGGAGAAAGAAAGAGAGGGAGGGAGAGGAAGGAAGAGTAGGAAACCAGGGCGAGTGGAGAGATAGAGGAGTGAGGATGAGGGGAAAGAGCACAGAGAGAAAACAGGGAGGAGAATGAGATTTGAGAAGAGTTTTTCAAAGTCAGACCAAAAAGAGGACAAGGAGTGAGGAGGGATTGAGAGGAAGAGCACATGATGAGGTGGTGGAAATGATGACAAAAGGCTGACAAGCCCCCCAGGGTGCGTTTGTGTGCACACAACTTGCCTCGGACCACAATGTGTTGGTCGGTTCTGAGTGCGAGGGCAGTTTCAAGTGTGTTTTGCACAGAAACACACACTCGGGTGCTTGGATTCCCCTCACACACACACACACACACACACCATCATGCAGGTCCCCCCTCCACACCACCTTAATAAATCTCTAAGCTGCTATCATTCACAGCTACAGGCCCGTCCCCGATTGGCTGAGCCCTTATCACCATCACCAGATAATCAATCATCACATCTCAGCCCCCTCTCCCATCCAATCACAACAAGCTCGGATCATCTAGTGATTGGCCCCAGTCTACTGATTGGCAGGCAGCTTGCTACGGTCTGCAGGGTTTCGGGGGTTTGGGGTTTTTCAGGCCGTTCCGTGTCTCACCTGCTTCCCTCATCCCGACCCTCTCCCTCATACGGACTCCTCGGGAAAAATCAACACAAGTTTAGTCTCTCTCCTTTTTTTCTCCTTTTTTCTTTTTTTTTTCTTTTTTTTCCAAGGATACGGGGCAATATTTGTGTTCTTACACAGAAAAGGAATCAGCTTTACTGAACACAGGCCCGCGGCTCACCATGCCAGTCACATTCTTCTCGTCCAATCGCCTAAAAGCGTTGATGTCAGATATCAACATTTTGGCTCGTCTGTCATGTCGGCAGTCTTCCTGTCGGAGACACACGTGCCACCACCACCCCCCCCCCCTTCTGTGCAGGAGTTCCTGTGTTCTCCTGCACAGGTGCAGACTGTGGTCTGTTATCTTTGAGGGAAGCTGGTGGTTGATTCAACGTGTGGAAGAACCGAAGTGGCTCTCAAAAGTTTGACTGAATGCAGACTTTATGACGAAAAAGTTAATGGGAGGACCACACTGACTATAAAAATCACAATGGTCCGACAACGGGGACTTTCAACAGGTTGGAACCTGAATATTTTGGATTTTGGGACACAAGCGGACAGACGGTAACATTTCAGTGCTTTTGAACCGGGCTTGGAAGGAAGTGGTTGGCATGGCGAGGGCGAGTCCTGTGGCTGAGAGGGGTTAGGAGCATTAATGATCCCAGCGCTGCAATGAAACCAACCTGTATTAGTGACACTACACCTACAGACAGCCTGTCTGAAACACTCACACCCCGAGAAATACGTCTGAACGGCTGCCTAGACGACACAAGCGACCTGCAAACATCTGTCTCTCGTACCGGCAGACACGACAGAAAAAACACACACGGAGGACAATGAAGCCAGAGAAGCAGGCAGCAGACAAAAGAAACACGGAACGGCAACACACATGCGGACAATGGGAGGAAAGTGACATGACACAAAACAGTCTAATGTTCATTCTGTGGGGGACATTACTCCTGCTGGTTAAACAAAAACAAAACAAAAAAAAGTAACATAAAGTAGCTCCTGCAACAGAAGACAGGAAATGACAGGTGGGAGAACTAGAAGAGATCAAACAATGACATCTGAAAAACTTTGAATGTGGTGGGGATGGATGTAAAACAGTTTGAGCCCTCAAAAGGTTCAGCTGAATGTGAAAGGATGCAAAATGGCTCCCAAAGGAGGGGCGACTGCAGAACCACGGGAAAACAAAGGTTTGATTAGATGATTCCAAATAAAACCTCTCTACTTTACTTTCAGGCATTTAGTTGACTTATGTCAGCGTAATCTAGAATCATTGTATAGTTCATAGTAGGGAAATATATCTACCACATATCGAAGGCTTAACCACTTAAAAGTCAATTTGTTTCTATTCTTAAGTCAGTACTTCTATAAACAGCTGTAAGGAGACAAAGAGAAATCTTACGTTTTCAAACCAGCAGGTGGAGCAATGTTTCAAACAGAGGAAAAAATGCTCTACCTGCTGTTTCAAAGCAGCCGGTACAGGTAGGGGAGGCAGGGACATGTGGCAGAGTGTGTGTGTGTGTGTGTGTGTGTGTGTGTGTGTGTTCCACATCTCCGAGTGGATCCAAGATGTGAAAAACATGTGCGTATATGCTGAGTGTGCATGTGTGGATGCGAGCATGCTCCTCAGACGTCTGAAAAGGTGTGTGTTCAGAGCACGAAGGCGTCAAAGGGTCAAAGCCATCCAGGTCTGCTGCTGCTGTTGTTAGAGAGCCGGCGCCAGAGTAGGAACAGAGACATGAATGAAAAGAAGAATGCAGCCTCCGGGAAAAGTTTAGAAAAGGAATACAAAAAAAAGAAAAAGGAAATAAGCAGGCGAAGCCTGAGAGGTACTGCAGCCCCATCCCTCCTGGGTCCTCTCCTCCACTCTGCCTCTGCCCACAACTACAGCCGGCTCTGACAGAGAACCAGACTTTGCCCCTGACACAGCCTCAGCAAAAGGCAAGTTTCCAAACAAAACTGAAAATAGCAGAGAGATGGGATGGGTGATGGCTTTGTAGGTGGCATTAGCTTGGATAAAGGTTAGCAATATTCAACAATATTGGGAAACTTTACACACTGGGACGCTTACGCTTGTGTCAATTTCTCTTTATGACGCTCGAATGAGGGGCACAGTCTCAAGCTTCGACTGAGAGCTTTGACCAATAGCACAAATATTCTACCTGGCACATAAAAAACAGGGTGAGGATGAGAGGGATGGGAAGGACGGTGGAGGGATGAAGAGGAGTCGGGGTGTTATTGTCCTGCATGATGATGAAGAGTGGGTGAGCACAGTGAGAGGATGACTGGGCGAGGTGGAAGTTAGTAGAAAAAAATAAGGCAACAAAAGTGGGCCAAAACACGCCACTCAAAATCATAAGTCTAAAAAAAGGGATAAAAGGGCCAAACCACAGAAAAAGGGGAGTGAAGAAGGCTCAAGGCACGAAAGGAAGATCTCAACAAAAAGCTGCACGAAACACCAAAAAGGGAAAAGTATATATATATATATATATATATGTAAAATATATATAAAGAAGAGAATACACGTGTGTATATATAAGGGGTTATATTTAACGTTGGGTATGTTGCCTACCTTCTTGGAAACCTGAACGAGAGATTTCTACAAAAACAAAAGAGGGATAAAGAAAGAAAGAGAAAAAAATGTATATATAAAACGCACGTATTGATAACTTTCCTGTAAAAGAGAAGCTGCCCTCACAGTAGCAAATTTCAAAGCTTAAAAAAACAAAACATAAAAAAAAATTACAAATAAAAAAAAAGAGGGTCCTGACTTACTTGTTACTGAAACAACAAACAGAACAATCTTTAAATGACAAATTATGAACAGACAGGACATCAGTGTTACTGCTGTTGACTTCAGTGTGTTTAAATGTTGGGACCGTTAGTGAGAACGTGTGAACAAATGTTATAAAATGCACTCTAAAACACTTCAGAGGGATTAAACGGGCTCTGTGGGAAAACTTCATCAAGACACTGCATGTAAGCAACCCTCCCGCCCCCCCGTAATGAAATGAAGCCCTCCTCCACACACTCAGCCATCCGAGGTGTTCCTGAGGCCCCTGAAAAGAATATTTTCTTAGGAGAGCTCAGCTGTGATAAGGAAAAATAAAGAATAAAGAAGGAAAAAAAGAATGAAACCATCTTTAAAACACGCAGATATGTAAAAACAAAAAAACAAAAAAAAAACACAAAAATTCTGAAACACACACTGTAAAACGTTGTGTCATTCCTACACACATGCGCCGACATGTCTGGGGAACGGACTGAGCTTCACCCTCCAGACCCAGAAGTGTAACCGTTACCTTATAAGTTACCCTGACAGTCTCCGCCTTCTCTTGCTGCAGGCTCACCAAGTTGTGCGAGCATGTGTGTCAAGGTGTCCCCACTAGCGGTATTTATAGTTAAAGGAAAAATGATATCTCTGGTGTAACCATGGATACTGTCGCCACGGAGCTAAACTATCTCTGAGTGGGAGGCCTGGAGAGTGGCTGTGCCTGTACCTCCGCCTCCTCCCCACACACACACACACACACACACACACACACATACACACACACACGCTGTGGATTCTATGTCCCTGTGAGGACACTTCACTGACACACCGGATGCCCTCACCACTCCTCCTATCCTTAAACCATCACACCGGAACGAGTTGGCCAAACAATAACCCGAGTCTAAACCCAAAATCAAGCGTGGAGCCAGTCATGTCCTGCCCTGATAAATGTACCGTCCTCATTCTCTTTATATCGTGTATAATATATTTCCTCGTTCACTTTGTGTCTTTAAGACACAATGTAAGTGGAGACGACGGCAATGACGCATCTCGACCCCACCTGCCCTCTCAGCTTTGTCCTCTCTCACCTCTCACTCGGCCCTTCCTCCCTCGACCTCGCGTCTGTGCGTGCCCCCTAAAAATCTCACGTCCTGACACTTCCCCCTCCTGTGTGTCTCTTTCATTTTCATAACCGGCACTAATCATAGTAATCCGCACCGCCCTTCCCCTCATCCTCCTCTCCTTCACCTAATTTCTGACCCAGCCTCGTAACAACTGCAGACTTTTCCTCAAAGTGAGTTAAATACTCAGGAATTTTCTCTGGCTCAAATAACCATTATTTGTTAAAGTGGGAATATTTCTGCGGGTTTCAACGGAACCAATCTCCACATCCAGATAACCACAAACATCATCACTTTCTCCGCACCGATGAACTGTCGTTTATAGTTTGAACTTTTTTTATATACTCTGACGTACTTGTGAATTAAAAATAACTTTTCTTTAGCCGTAGTCCAGAGTTTACTGCAGTCCAAAATGAGGCGCAGCCATCTATCATACATCTTTGGTCAAGTTCAAGTGGCACAATCGTTTAGCATTTGAATGACAGAGTTGTTGTGCGTTGAGAAACAAACAGGAAAGAATCTACGGCAGCATTTATTTTTAATCAGGTGCCCATGAGAGAAATTTAAACTGCTGCAACCTGCGCTGAAAGACTGAGCTGAAAACTGGGCCAGGAACATGGAACCACAACCAAAATTACTCCCCAGTCACCACTGCTCCAGACAAAATTACAGGGGAGACACAGCTGTTCCCTTCCTCGTTCTTTCCCCTCTGAGCAGAGTTCCAGATCAGCACTAGTTCAGTGATAGACGAGGCCGGCCCCTTTAAAGGCACACTCAGAAACACCAGTGATGACATGTGCGCACGGCACCGTTTGTGAGAGGAAACAAGCACATAAAATGATTTGTAATATACACCTTCTATTTTCTGGTTCAGGGTGGCTTCTCTCCTGCTAAAAGATCATCATTTTCCCCTTGTATTTTCACTCCTTTCTTGTTTCAGGGCAGATTCCAACAGTAACTGTTCCCCACTTTACACATCATCGCGGGATTGCCACTACTCACTTGCGCACAAACTTGGAAGTGAACTTGCTGAAAATCCCTGTGGCCCCGTGTGTCTGGCGGGCCTGGCTGTTGCCATGGGAGAGTGATGGGGAGGCCGGGCCGCCGGGGTAGGCCGAGCCCTGCTGGTCCCGGGCGCCCCGCTGCTGGCCTGCGTGGAACGTGCTGCGGATGGCCACCCCTCTGGAGAAGTTGGTTCGGTCCGACGCTGCTGCGCTGCTGATGTTGTGGGCAGACGGGGAGGCACCGGGCGCCCGCTGCGGAGCAGCACTGTAGAGGGGGGAAGGAAGGAGGGAGGGAGGGAAGGAAGGAAGGAAGGAAGGAAGGAAGGAAGGAGAGTGGAAGGATGGATGATAAAGAAAAGGCGATGAAGAGGAGGTGATTGGGATAATAGATTTGAAGGTGTGATAATCGGTAAATAGGAGGTGGAAATGAGAGAGAGGAGAAAAAGTGTAGGAGAGGAGACAGCAGGACACAAAAAGAAAAAGTTAAACAAATTAGACCTGCACTTAACCTTTACTTTTTGGGCTGGTGTCAGGTTGAGTGATCATGTCTGTTCGGAGGCCGCGTGTCCTGATGTTTCCTCTAATCCTCAAAGTCAGTCAAGTCAGGTCAGTCACAAGTAAACAGCAGCAGTTAATCCTCTTTGTCTCAGCTGAAGAGCAAAGCGTCACAAAGCTCCACACACACTCCTCCAACAACATGTGGCAGCATTACATCTGCAGCAGATGCTCGGTGCTACAGACAGGACGGGCGGAAGCGGAACACAGACACACAGACACACACACACACACACAGGCAGACACACAGGCAGAATCAGGCTCCTAATGTGATAAACGCACAAAGCAGATTGAATACAGAGAATTAATACTAATGTGCAATCTGCTGTGGAGGGAGGCAGCCGGACCACACAGCGCAAATAGGTCAGGTGCATGTCTCATTCACACTCATCTTCAAAGGCGGATGAAACGTTTTCCCGTGAAAACGCGAGCGACACGGCACCATTTGCAGCGCCTCTAAAAGCAGGAGCAAAGAGTGTTAACCGTCCTGTGTTCTCTGACGTATTTTTGCTCGTATGGTGCCTCGCAAAACGTTGAAACACGGCTCGCTTCTGAAACGCAACCTGTAAATATCACAGGATCCGTGCCACCATGAATTACACCAGCCTCTCTCCCTAGCCCTGGGAAATGTCACCTGACAATTAATCTACTTTGTCACCGCTTGCCTAAATCTGAAGCTTTCTTCCTCAGACATCTTATGTAATGAGGCTGTGCAGTGCTTAGATAAGGGGTGGGGGGGGCTTCTCAGCAAAGAGTGCAGTCAAAGTCTTAAAAAAGGTAAAGCTGATGTGGATATGACCAATATGGCCATAAGATCAAACCCAACCAAGGAACTCTACATTAACAGGTGCGAGAACAGGTGCTGTGAGGAAAACAACGATGATGTCCTCCCACAGATTTATGGGAGGCAGAGGTCTGTTTACACAGAAAAAATGTGTGGCTTATTGGACTTCTTAAAATATCATGCAGTTATGTAAGAAATCTAACTTTCCTTCTGCATTCATCTGTTGTGTGAGTCTTGTAATTTGGGACATTACTCCACTCTCCACTGCTTTTGCCTTTTTGAAGCCTTTGGTGGCACAGCGTTATTTTTCCAAGAAAACATTTTCTTTTTTAAATTTTAACATTTCTGGACACTGGATAGGTTAAACAATAATCCTTTTCTTGGTGTCCTCAAGGATTTTTTTTAAAATAACGAATCCTTGGAGCTAACAGGCAATCTTGAAGCTGTCCGTTTAATGACTGAATCACAAACAATGCAAGTTCCTTTGGCTGAAACGAGGTCATAGACTATATCTACACCACGCTAGTCTGAAACTACCAGCTTTAAGCATAACTATCTTAATCACAACACTAAAGAATGGTATTTTTAAAGTTTGAGAAGGGCTGGGAGAAAAAAAAAGGGGGGGGGGGTGAATGGAAGCTAGGGCACGGATCACAAGGTGCCAGTTTCTCAATCTGGGTGTAGTCTAAGTGTTGGAGCGGTACCTTCTCTCCAGCGATCCCAACCAGGTTCTGAACAGCCTGAGTTCACCTCTGAATGAAGCATGCAACAGAACAAGACTTCAACGCAGAGCAGACAAATCTACAAGCAGCCAGAGGGCCACCTTGACTTTACCTCTGCTGGAAACTGAGCCTGACATTCAAGTTTTTGGGTTGTTTTGTTGTTGTTTTTTTTTTAAGTCAAAGAAAGGGTGGAGGGTCTCCATCTGTAAATTCTATCAGTGGCAAACAGGGCTCAGGAGCATGCTGACAACGTGGGAATTACACAAAGACCCACATGGGTTACACATGGAAGCCTGACAGAGATTTTCACATTTGTCTTTTGGTTTATTATAGTATTGTTAATGCTTCAATGGTAGAAATAGTTTCTTCACAGAGAAGGAACTGCATGAAATCAGTACTTTTTTCTTTTAGTGAACCTCTAAACCAAATGCAGGCTGGAGCAGAAAGTGCCTAATTCCTTCTCAGGGAACTGAAGTTCACTTTGATCAGCCTGGGGAAACCCTGCTGTCACACAAAATAGGCCAGAAAAAAAAGGCAAAAGGAGAATAACACACAAAATACAATCTGCTATGTGAAAGACATGCGACAGATAAGGCAAACGCACACAAAACACAGTAGAAAGATTTTAACGTTTGGCTGTCGTCAGCATTTTCAGATGGTCCAGTTTCTTTAAAAACTTACCTGCACTGGTCGCCTTGGCTAGTTATTTTTTACAAGTCATAGATATGTAAAAGTCATTAAAAAAAAATGTCTGTATTAGGGGCTGAACAAAGTGACATCTTACCGGCTGCTGCCTAACAGATGCTGTCTGTTAAATGTGGAGTTGCTTTACAAAAAGGGACATTTCTCACTACATACATATCTTTCATAGCTGAATTTTAAAATTAGCTATGGAGGTTATTTGTGTGGGAATGCAATCTCTGCTGCCACAGATACACTTCCTCTCTGTATTATCTACCAGGAAAGATATGTGGTTAGAGAAAACAAAAAAAAAAGAAAGAAAGAAACTCCTACATGTCAGAGTTAGAGCGAAGGGAAAACCTGCTCTTCTCGTTCTGAGCAATCAGATTTTTCAGTTATGGTCCAACAGGCGGTTTGAAGTAGATGGTCAGAAACAAGCCATTCAACATGCTCTCCCTTTTCTGAACTCCACAATCTAGTTCCTGGTTGTTGCTAAGTAACTGTTGTGTTGTGTAGCTCAGTTTTAGCAAATGTGAACACAGACGCTTCCACTTGATCTAAGTATAATAATCTGATACCAGATGAGTTAGGTGCGTTGCTTTGTTTCCTGTAGTAGCTTCTCGTGGATTGTTGAACTAAAGAGGCTAAACAACATGCAGAGCAGAGAAATAATCATCAGCCTCAAGGAATTTCCTCGAGGGTTCACAGTGGAGCTGGACCAGTGACATCAAAAGTTGTAAACTGTGCAATTCTTGTCACTTTTGCTTAAAGTGTGTCAAAAAGAGGAGGCTTTAGCAAGCAAAGCAGTTCGGGTTGAAAGAAATAACGTATCTTAAGGGAGAAAAATGCACTTCATTAGTTGACCTCACCATTAGTCGGTGAAAAAAAAATTGGCACGAGCCGCTGCTTAAAACCAGGTTTTGTCAGAGTGTGAATCAACGGTAATTAAACAGAGCGAAACTGTGGAGGAAGAAGGAAAGAGCTGGCATCACACTTCTAGCAGTGCGGTTCTCAGAGCCAACACAACACTTTGTGCGTTCTTCATTTCTCCTTCTTCTCTTCGTCCATTTCAGGAAAGATGCTGATCTGAGGTCTAGGCGGGTCTACTCTTTTCTGTGGATTTGTGTGAGTGTGACTGTGTGAAACGTAGAGAGAGACTTGCCTGGCCCGTGGTGCGTGCTGGTCAAAGGGGCATGGATGATTGGAGGAGGACAGGGACTTGTGGTGGCGGGAACGCGAGGAGGAGGAGGAGGAGGAGGAGGAGAGGACGGCAGCAGCTGAGGCAGTGGACGCACGGGAGCCCGGAGTGTTTAGGCTGGGTGGGGAAGGGACGGGGAGGAGGAGGAGGAGCGCCCCGCCCGACACATACGTCCAGACACACCCACAAACATGAATGAGCAACATGGACAGGCACACCCCAGAGACACAAACATCAAGCATTCGTATGGACAGAAAGACAGCGGGCGGGGTTTGTGTGAGGGTGGGCGGGGGGGTGAGGTGGAGTACGGTTAGAGGCAGCACTTATCAAACACAGCAAGTAGGAGGGGCGGGCGGGCAAAAGACACACGGGAGGGAGAACAAAGGAACAGAACATACATGCATGAGAACAAACAGTTGATCGCATTGTGCCGTTAGCTCTGTGGTTCCTTTAAAATAGTTCAACCACAGCAAGGAGCCAACTTACAGAGCACAATAGAGCAACTCTGACAGGCATTTTGGATTGGGACAGAACCTTCACATACAAGACCATTTTCTTGACAAAGTCAGACAGAAATGTGCAAAGCAATTACATCAAATTCGATCTGGTTATTTGGCAGAAAAGATGCTTCAGTGCTTCATCTTTTTTTTTTTTTTTTAAACCCAGAATTCACTACATACATTGATAGGGGCCATTCAAAAGTGTAGCTTTCCTCTTTTGGAGTCACGTGAGTCTAATGTCACTCGCTGATCATTTTGAACTTCCTGCTTTAAAGGGTTGAATTGTCTTTTACTTCTGCATGCCGAGAGCTAATTTTCTGTCGCATGCATCCTTCCTGTTTTCATCCTCTATGCGGACTCTCCTTCCTAGTCAATTTGGGTTTGTTAATGCGATCCAAAGTTTTCTGAACTAGTTCCCAAACACTGTTAATCTGAAAGGTTGCTATGGCTGCAAAGCTCTGCACATTACTGACTTGACTTGACTTTGTCCGCACGCAGAGAAAAAAAACACAGTGAGGGACAGCGGAGGGTGGTACCACAAGGAGACAGAGAGATATCTCAAGAGAGCAGAAAATACCCAATGAGAGAAAGAGGGACATTTACAGAGGTTTATTCAAAAACACACACAGCCGATGGAAACACACAATCTGCCTCACATGGATTAGCAAGGCTGGTGATGGAAAAATGACGACATTTGAAGGCAAAACAAAGTGTGAAAGGCGGTTAAGCATATGCAACGTGTATGTTTAAAAGCTTGTGTGTCAATGTGCGGCCTTAGTTGTTGTGGACATTTGTGTGCAAGTGTAAGCCTATTAAGAGGCGAGCATGGGGGCAGCACAGCGCCCGCTAGAGTTAATATTCCATCACAAGTCTTTCTAATCTTCTTAGAAAGAGGGAGAAAAAGAGAAATAAGAAGAACGGTTCATTTAAAAATGAGGAAAAAGAAGAAAGCAAAGAAAGGAAGTGCCAAGGAGAAGTGAGTGACTTTGGATCCAGAGGGACAGAAACTCAGACACATAAGAAAGAAGACCAAATTAAGCAAAAATGGTAAAAAGACAGCGGGATGAAAGACATGGTGCGTGGGGTGTAACAAGTACAAAAGCCCAAACTTCAAAGCATTAATGACATCAAACAAAGTAACTTTAAAATGAAGGCAGATAACAACCACTATGTTAGCAGAGGCTACCACAGCTAACAGACCCACAGAACTAAAAAAAGAAATGGTGTCTCAAATGACCACTTTGTCGCCAGCAGTGCTCAGTGAAAGTAACGACAAAGGGGATGGATTTGTAACATTTGATCAGATACCACAGCCTGGACACAGATTTAATTCCATTTCTGGTTTTGTAGCACTACTCTGGGAACAAAGGGGCCATTTGAGACTGACACATGAACAGGTAATAAAGCAGTATGAACCATGAACACTGCGTCGTAGTAGGGATTATGGTTTGGCTTAATGTTTAATGCTCATGAAAAGCACACAAAGCATATGGCTGGTTAAGCGGGAGTGATGTGAAGATGGCTGTGTGTGTGTGTGTATGTGCGTGTGGACAGGCCGGGTCGCGCAACTCTAGAAGTGAAATTGACGCCGTCAACGGCAGCGGGGAGGGAACCAAAGCACGCTGGGATCCGCGTATCTTTAAGATGTTTTCTTTTCAGTGAATCAACAGCTGCTTGGAACGGAAAGAGAAATGAACTGATAACATGTGTGGGGAGGGTAAAAGGACAAGCAGTATCGGTCGGGAGTTTCTCGATTTGAAGAGGAAAAATACCACGAGGGAGGGGGGGCGGGGGTTTATATCTGAATGACGGAAACATTTGTTTTATATTGTCAAATATCCACGAAAGAATTCCTACTGCTCAGGGATAGATCTATTGTCCGGATCTTGCTCTGCGAGCGGCAGAAGGGATGCAGGTGCGAGTCTCCGTCGGGCCGGCTGCTCTGACTGGCAGGCCTCCACGTCCCCACAGTGGGTAATCTGTAATATACTGGAGGTTTGGCCTCCACTCCCAGGGGAGCCTGACTTTAATGTCCAGGAGGGCTCGCCCCACCCAGGGAGGAGTCTGTGATCCTCCTTGAGCCAGTTGGCAGCGCTCTGCAGAGCACCAGCCAAAACCTGTGATTCGGTGGCTGCGCCAGCTGTGGGACGGCTTCATTCACAAAGCACGGGGAGCGTGTTCCTATCATCTGCACCTTTAGCGAGGAGGCAGCAGCACTGGCTCAATCCCACTGGGGGCCGTGTGAGGACGACTATATGTGCCTGTATCTGATCTTATCTTTCCAAAGAACCTCTTCTTTGTAAAAACGAGTGAATCTTAAATGTGTTTGCGTACCTGTCCTTTCCGTTGTGAATACTCTGGCCCAGCGTGGCTCTCTCAGTCAGCGGAGAGTTCCGACTGCGACTGGTGCCGGTGGACAGGATGCTATTCTGAGGGGGGGAAAGCACCAAAATGTTAGAGCTGCAGAAAGTAACCAAGCTCGCATAGAGGAGAATGACTTGAAGGATAGTAGTAAAAAAACAACAACAAATGGACGAAACTCTGAATGACATTTTACAAGCTTATCATAACAATCCACTGTAATCAAAGCTAAAAGTGGCTCAACAACATGGATTGTTGCTTTTTTTCCCCCTCTCTCTTTTGGCCGGGCAGCACATTCTCATCATTTTCATGTTAACTCTGTTAGCTGACACCGCTGACAGGCATTTCCTCAGTAAGTAATAACTGAGATGAGGGGCTGGAAATTAATGTCAGCTGAGTGGATGACAGAAGAAAACAATAAACAACATAAAACAGGACAGAAAACGCTACAGCTATTAAATTGATGAGGTCAGAATTGTCCTTAGCTACTTCTGTGTCAGAGTCCTGTTAACGTTTACGCTGGCTCAGTATTACCTTCACTGCTTAATGAGGTATCCGAATCAGTCAAACAAATGTTCATAGTAACAGGTTTTTCCTAGCGGGATGAAATGGCTGCCGTAAAATATGTTTCTAACCAGTCGCCTATGTAAAATGGAAAAGCTAAACAAATTAATTTAAATCAGATAATGGGATGACATGTCTATGGTACCAGAAAAAAAACGGTTGAACACTATACATTTTGAAGTGCTATTTACTTGAATTTCATTCAATCATTAACTAACAATTATGGTGACCTTTAGACCCAGGCCTGGCTGGTGCCAGCTAACACCCAACAGAAGGAACCTCTATCGGGTCATTTATGGATTTTATAACACAGCAAATAGATGGATTCTTTCATTTTCGGTTTTCTGTGTGTACTTTGTTTTTGTGTTAGTGTTGTCTTTTGTTGTTTGCACATTGTACAACATGGCTACACACAAATCTTCTCTTGCTGTGACGACAGAGACATTTCCCCCCTAACACACTGGTCACTGTACTGCCTTGCAAAGGTCACATCCCAGTTAAATAAGTGATATGAGTGTGGCTCTTACAGTGGAGGGCGTAGCACTTTTCTTGCGGTCAGAGGGGACCAGAGGGCTGGCCGGCACCTTGGTAGTAGAGCTGCCTGAAGAACTTTTCCTCCCAGATTCATCAACTGCAGAGCGGTTGTCTGCCTGCCCTCCCCTCTTGGAGTAGGAGGAGCCTAGAGAAACAGAGAGAGAGCGTAAGACTGTAGTGTGAACTCATCACCCTTTAGTTTTGTCATTCATCTCTTTTTTTCTCTCACAGAATTCAGTTTATCCTCCATTAAATGTGTTGTAAGCACCTTCTATTCTTACATCCACCCGTTAATCTTCCTTGTTGATTCTTAAAACTCACCCCCTCTTTATTTCAGGCGCTGTCAAGATCTGTGTGTGTGGGTTGTTTTAAGCCGCTGATTTTTCATTTGCATTCAATAAGCAAAAGTAAACAAGAAAAAAATAACTTTTTGGTGGGGGGGGGGGTTTATTGAGGTCGCATGTACTGGAATGTGACCTACATAAATAAACAAACACACACACACACACACACACACACAAATAAACAGTACGACAGAGCTGCTTTTTTAAAATATATTAATGCAGCCTTAAAAAAATCCACAAATGTATTCAGAGGAGTTTGTGTTTGTATTCAGATGCGTCTGGTTTCTTTTCTTTTGGTTCCCCCGTAGATTTGCTCTTTTGGCGTTCGTCATTTTGTGTAACTGCACTCAAAAACTGAAAAGGGTAGATTATTTAACATTTTAATATTAAGAATTATTGTAATTAAGAGTTACAGTTTGTCTTGGAAAAACATTCAGCCCTCTGTACCTTCTACTGTAACAAAGCTCTGCTTCCTACGACACTATAAATGTGTTTTTTCTTCTCATAAGATTAAACAAAATTTCATTTTCAGGTAACATTCCAGAAATGCATCATTTCATTGTTTATCTCTTGATCTTTTAAAATCACCTGAGTGGTTTTCAATCTTTAAAACTATAAATAAAATATCTCCTCGTCCCCATCTCCAGCCACTGCCCCCCACTCAAAACCCACTCAAAAACACACAAATCTCACCCTGGTCAGTGGCTCTGCGGTTCTGAGGCTTCTGGTTGGATGACACGCTGCGCTGTACCTTGAAGGGGTATGACGGACAATTGTCAGTGCGGCTTTATTTATGCCACCTTATCCAAACAGAGAACATACTGAATGAATCGAACCAAAATCAAGTGTTTACAGCGGATCCTTTAATACAGCCCTGTTCAAATATATACATATTCGTGAGCCACGGCTGCCTGTGGTCTGCTGTTGGCATGTTCTGTAGATTTACTGCAGAGCATGAAACTATCACTTAGATGCATCAGAGTACATTCTCCGAGCATTTAAGGTATAAATACGTGCCAAGTATATGGTGAGTTTCCTTGTGCCACTTGCTCAAATTGGAAAACTTGATTATGCATCAGGAGAAGATGTTATGTGTTCTCATTATACCTTGTGAGACGGGGAGGGTGCATTTATGTTGCTTACATCACTTCCTAGCCGTGGCTTGATACAACCTTCTTCCAGCTGCAGGGGGGAAAAAAATATGACAATATCTTAATACATGTGTGTTAGCGGAGGAGACAAAGACAGTCAGTTGGTTGAAACAAAAAAAACATATATATGTGCCTTTGACACAGCGATTGATGTGAATAGTTTGTGGTGGAGTTAACCAACATTTCATCGAGGCCCATGAGATGGATAAGAAGACTGTCCTGTCAGCAGTAAAACGGGAAAGGTTTATTTATGTGAGAGAGACTGTATACCTCAGAGTTCCTATAGTCCAAAAGCAGGTATGTCGCCATCACTTCATTATACTTCTGGTTCACCAATGAGTCCTGGATCTCCTCTTGACAATATCCCATCTGCAGCATGATGTCTGCACAGGCAAAGAAAATGTTGTTTATCCTTGAAACTGTGCCCTCACTTAATGCTCTTTACAGTCCTTGTGATAAATCACCCTCGCAGGTACAAAGAAAAGAAAAACACTCTTTACGCAGAAGTGCCTTTTACTGTTTACCTGTTCTCCTGGGGTCCTTATAATCTGGCTGGGGTTCAATGTAGGGTTTGAGCTCCTCCTCCTCATAGCCCACATTCATCCATCGGTCCCTCATTATCTGCTGCTGGGAGCAAGCCAGAGACACACAGGACACCATGAGTTGTCAAAAAAGATAAAAGGAGAAGGCTGGAAAGCAGGGACCAGTCGGTACTCTGTGGCTTTTTTCTCCACCATAAGGTTTTATTCTCATGTCTAGTCTGGTGTGTTTCCTACCAATATGCAGATATATCTCCACTAAGGACTCAACTATGGCAACCGTTTGGCGCAAACTGATTCAACCTGTCGACGGAGGTGCACACTCCCAATGTGCAGTCTCACACAAAATCTAACATAGGTGCCATTGAAGTGTCACGTGACATTTCCAATACTAGATCTTGACGTTTCTTTGTAGGGTTGCTTAAAACCTTTGGAAAACAAGCCAAAAAGCAAAAAAAGTTCAAACCTGCTCCCACAAACAGAAGTCCAACATCATTTGCCAGCTAACTCCAGAGCACATTTTCAACTGAACATCCATTTTTTCAGGCAGAAAATTTAGTAACCCCTTAGCCCTAAACTAGCATGCTTTTACGAGCCCTTTAAAAAGCGCTTCACACTTCAGCAGCAAAGTCACATATGCTTGATAAACTAGGCTAAGGCTACAACACAATGTGTTTAGGAGCAGGCAATTTCCAGCCCTATCACAATAAATTTTACAGGAACTACAACAATGGCTCAAATGTGCAATAAAGTATTCATAGCAGCTACAATGAAAGCAAATAATTTACTTGAGTGGGTGTCTTCTGATCTGTGTGTGTGTGTCAGTGCTGTGCAGTATACCTCGAGGCTGCCTCTTTTGGAAGGATTCAGGATCAGGAACTTTTTAAGCAAGTTCTCACAGTCGGTGGACATGTAGAAAGGAATCCTGTATTTACCACGCAGCACACGCTCCCTCAGTTCCTGCCGATGGAGGAACACGTTGAAAAGCATAGCGTTAATGCATGTTTCCCATTTACAGAAAAGTGCTGTCTCATTTGTATTCTGCCACTAAAGTCTATTTAAAATCAATCGGATGGACATTAGCCGGGGCGACACCTTGACTGACGGATGTCTTAAAAACAACCATTAACTAAATAGATAGGTATTTTTCTCTCTTTTTGAGGAAGAGGCTCTGATTTTAAAACTGTATAGCTTGTCTGTAAAAATAAGGCTGAATAATATTGATTATGGTATTTCAATTCCAGTGATATCTGATCCTGCTGCTTTCATGCAGTCATGAAATGACACACTGAGGAGGTTAAAGGATGACAGCAGCAGCAGCACGGTCAGAACCTATAAAACACACTCTAAAGCAGCAACTGTCCTCAGCCCTTCATATATTTAAATCTAAATCAATTTTGACACGTCCAATCAAATATACAACAAAGAATGTATCAGTAAATAGGGTTAATAGATTAGATACAATCTAATCAAAGGGGTGGACTTACAGCAAAGCTTCCTTCTTTTAAGCAAACAGCAAAAACCAACACTGTAGGCCTTAGACTAAACAAAGTTAGATTGCTTTCACAGGCATGCTCCTATCAGCTGTGTCCCATTGAATGTCATATTGCCCACCCAAGATGAGTCTGCACTTCCAGTGTGAGTCATAACAGCACTGAGAGTTACAGGTGGTGGGTATGACTGTGTACGATTACAGCTTACAGAGAGGATTAAATCTGTTTTGTATAAAAAAAAACAAAAAGCACCTGTTATCTCAACCATTTTTTCCTTTAAACAAGCACTTACACATAAAAAGCTACACATCCATGCTTCGCGGAGTTTAATTTCTGTATTCAGTCAGCCAGAGGGAACAGAAACCGTAATGACAAATACTAAAACCACCCACAGAATGCGAACATCCGCTTATATAATGAGCACGAATCCACACACACTCAGACACACACAAACACACAGACGCGCAAGAAAAATATCTCCTCTTTCCAACCTTGAGGTTTTGTCCATCAAATGGCAGGGAGCCGCTGACCAGCGTGTAGAGGATTACTCCCAGGCTCCACACGTCCACTTCAGGCCCATCGTACTTCTTCCCCTGGAAGAGCTCCGGAGCTGCGTAGGGCGGGGAGCCACAGAAAGTGTCCAGCTTGTTCCCGAGAGTAAACTCATTACTGAAGCCAAAGTCTGCTATCTTGATGTTCATGTCTGCGTCCAGCAGAAGGTTCTCTGCCTGCAGATGGAGAGCGTGTGGGGGGGCGAGAGAAGAGAGGCAGAAAAACAGATTCATGCTGCAGTGAGCCGAGGATGAATAAGAAACAGAAGGAATAAAGAAACACCAAAACAAGTTCTACCTCCAATTGTGCAAAACAAAAACAAAAAACTTATTTTGGTTTTAGAGACACTTGTCTTCAAATTCCCTTCTTCAAAGAGATCAGATTGAGAGAAATCAAATCTCCTTCGAAAAGCTAAAAGGGATTTTCAGGGACACGCAAATAACTTTGAAGAAACCATAGGAGTTGTCTAACACTCCTGCAGAGAAATAAACTCCAACAACAACAAAACCACACGCAGACAGAAGCAGCAGGAAAAGACGGCAAATGTATTAAAGTGTGATTGTCTGTGGCTATCAAGAAACATGCAATGGACAAAATGAGCTGCCACAGCTCTTACCTATGTGTGTGAGTGTGTGTGTGTGTGTATCTTTAATGCTAAAGTGAACCATTAAAGGGGGAGGCTGGGGTTGCCTAGCAACAGGTGCACTCTCCTTTTCACTTGCTTTGAATACTCAGCTTTGGTGTGTTTGAGCAAGCGAGCACATTGATAATTACTGAAAAAACAAAACAAAACAGTGACATCCGTAACCTGTAGTCTGAGAAATAAATGAGCACCTGTTTTTTATGTACATGTTCCATCGATATAATCTTAATCTTAATTTATGTTTTAAGTGCATGTATATGTCTCTGATTTTGATTGTAACAGATTTTTCAGACTCTTTCAGACAGTTTTCAGACTCTAAACACATTAACAAAAGTTTACGCTTGCAGAGCAGAGCCAGTGTGACTTAAGCCTGTGTTGGATTTTACAGATCAAGAGTGATTAGGATAATGTACAGGATGCTACACATTACAATAATAACCAACGCAGAGCCGGCAGTAACCTCCTATTTCCAATGCTGTCATCTTCAAAGATGGAACGACTGTGTCAACAAATCTGCTACATGACCTTTACTCTCCAAACACTGAAAATTCTTGAAAAGAAATTCAATACAATGGGTGGGAAAAGAAAGATACCAAATGAAATGATGGCAGGTTCTTGTAGGGTTGCTGTAACAGCAATCATGATAAAAACTACAAGTCTGCCTTCTGGCACAATAAGAGGATTTACTCTGCAGCATAATATAATGAACCAAAATGCCCCGGAAGCTTCGATCTGGGTGTGCATGTTGTGATTCAGCTCAGATCTGAAATACTCTCAACTGCAGAGTGACTAATGCAAACATAGAACCTAAACAAAACAAGGGGGGGGTTGATAAGCGGACAGCATGCAAATGTATTTGTGCCACAATGTCCAGGCATGTGTAAACCCCAAAACAGAGCCAATACAGGATTTTTGTGATCAACATCTGGGTCACTTGTCTGTGGGTGAAGACATTTAATCGAAAGAGTTTAAATCACATAAAGATTGTGTGGAGAGACGGGGAGTGGGAGCATCCTTTGATAAAACTGTAATTCAATAATGTCTGAGTGTGTGCTCACCTTGAGGTCTCTGTGAACTATACACTTCTGATGGCAATACTGCACAGCTGACACGATCTGGAGGAGGACAGAGTGTGTGAGAGATAAATGAAGAATGAGGAGAAAACGGACTACAGGGTGGACGATGAGTAACAATCAGATAGTGAAGTTCAGGGACACTAATAACTCCTCATTAGAGGTTCTATGTGGAAGCAATCATCAACAACTACTGAGGAAGAAAGATTCCTGCAGTTCTATTGCTTGTGTACATGTTATTGAACAGTAGAAAAACTAAGAAAACACATGTAACAACAAGTTATGTAATCCAGTCCAGCTTTTCAGAAATGAACCATGGAGCACACGCAGCAATCCAGCAACTGTCTCCGGAAAACACACACCTGTCTGAATTTGGCACGTGCTTCCTTCTCCTTCATCCGGCCGTGGGCCACCAAGTAATCAAAGACCTCTCCTGAGAGACACAACAAGACGTCAGAGTTGGAGCTGGAACTTGATAGCCGTCTCATTACAGACTTACGACAGGTCGAAAATGACAGCAGTCAGGTTAAATCGGGGCCTTTTTTGGGAGAGTTTTCTTATTTTCATAGCAATCCTTAACTCCAAGTTTGCTACTCGACCTGAATCGATTCAACACTAGTCACAATACTGGGAAGCATTGTAAGAGAACAGCCTGCCTATCAACTTATGTGGTAAGCGAGGCCAATTTAGTTTTTATTTGACTTACAAAGGAACCTGGGGCAGAGGAACTTACCTCCACTTGCGTACTCCATTACCAGGTACAAAGTCTTCTCTGTCTCTATCACCTCAAAGAGCTTCACTGTGGGTGGAGAGGAAAAAAACAGCAAAAAATACATAACATTTTATTGGGATTGGAAGCCAAGAGAAGGCCGATGGAGCAAGAGACAAGGGGAAGTTGAGTAGGATAACACTAGCAAAAGAGAAAGCGAAAATAAGACAGATAACCATTTGGCTTGAGTTTATGACCTTGAGAGAGCAGTTGGGTTTCCATGTTTCTTTGGGAGGGGCAACAGAGCTTTGGTGTGACTCACCTATGTTGGGGTGATTCAACATCTTCATGATTCTCACCTCCCGGAAGAGCTGTGAGAAACAAGTCATAAATGCTCTGTCACTTGCGCCGAGGGTGGAGACCAAGATGTTTTGATTGTGAATTACATTTGCATTCTAAATCTGAACTGCGTTAATGTGCATTGTCTACATCTCTGACAACTGAGGAGGACAGGGAGGCTCCAAGAATTATACTTGAAAAGGAGAATCAAAAAGCAAACATACAATTCCTGTTTATGTGCAGGAAAGTCTAAACACGGCTGGAGCTCAAATTAGTCACATCAGCAGAACTGCGTTAGCCAATCATAGATGTGGGATTAGCCAAAATTTTTTTTTTTTTTTTTTTTACATAAGTCTAGTTCTTAGCCATGTAAGAGAGTAGATGGGCCAAACTAAACTTGGAAAAGGCAACGCTTTATGTCATACAAGCACCTGCAAAGCAAGAGCAATAAAAGTTACAGGCCGCCCCAAATGCAACGCTCTTTCCAAGCGGCAGCAGCCTGTAATATTTGCTCCGCGACAAGTAATCCGCTCTTCAAAGACTTCTGCTGTCCTTGAAAGGGGCATAAACCACTTTCTAAAACAGAACTTCAATATGACTTTACATCTGTAACCACGCAAGAGCAGGAAATGAAAACTTTAAGGCTCATGTTCAGCTTTAAGAAAATAACAACATGAAAACACAATTCAAAGCTGCTTGAAATATTTCAGCTTCAAAATATCTGAGGCATTTTTTGAAAAATACATTAATATGCAGACGTTACTCCATTTGGTTCTCCGACAGTAAGTGCGTATTGTCAGTTCTGGTCTTTTTACAGATGGCTTTCTATGTGTGGGCATTTTCCCGTTTCATCTGCGTGGGTCACCGTTAGAAGACTGCCTGCATTTGAAGATTTATGTGGTCTTTAGTTTCTGCGTCGTCTATTCATCGGGACAAATTTGAATGTGCATATTTGGAGCGAAGCGTGTCCTCTGTTTCTTGAGTCTATGATTGCTGAGCGGTGTGTGCGTTCGGTGTGCGAGCACACATGGTGAGACAGTGTACATGTCAGTGGACAGACCCCACCCTGCCACGATCAAAGGAAGTAATTGCAGCTTGTTTCCTGTAATTAAAACTCTCTCTAAAAACTGGACCACTTCAGAAAGATAGAGGGGCAGAGAGAGAGAGAGAGAGAGAGAGAGAGGGGGG